CAAATAAAAACCATGCTGCAGTGCCCTGGCATGATTTAGTCTAACAACACATACCTATTGCTCTCAGATCAACTGCAGTATTTAAAGTTGAACTTCATGAAAAGACCACTAAGACATTAAATATCCACAGGGGAAAAAAAAAGAGGAAGAAGATTAAAAAAAAAGAGAGAGAAACACCATAGGAATCAGTTTCTTAGAGGCGAAGGCCTGTGTCAAAGTTATGCTTGTATGTTGAAACCATGTTGTTACAGTACACTGCTAATGAAAGGTGTTCCTCAAAACAGTTCATTCCCACACTTCCAGAGAAGTGTCCAACTGGATCACCCCTAGCACTGGGGTGATCTGGCAACCTGCAGGCATTGCAGCAGCACCTCAGAGCTTCCCAGGCTCACAGGGAGAGAGCAGCCTTTCAGCAGGGTCTATGCACAAGATTCGCCCGTCCACCTTCTCCAGGTGGAAGCTGAGAAGAGAAGGTGAACGTCTTTACTGACATGCCAGTATGTGAAAATTCAACCCTTTTAAATAGGATCTTAATTACACTGCGGTGGTTATTTCTATCACAGCTGTAGCGACATGAATGAATTCTCTAAGTTCTATGTTCTTCTAAAGTTTTCTTTAGGCTTAGCCTGCAAGTGGGTTGAACTACACCTTTACTGAGAGTGCTGAATAGACAGCAAAGAAATGTGAGGTCTAATTGTGACTTTGACACTGAATTGCTGTCCAAATCCATGCAAATCCTTAAACCTCTATGCATTGCATTCCCCCAAATGCAGAAAAAAAAATGGGCAGGGGCATTGGACAAATGTGAAGAAGAGGGAGAATAATGTATCTCTCCCTAATGATGATGCTATGAAGTCTGATGTCTGAGAATCTCTACTAAGGACATTTTCAGAGAAAATGGTGACACCTATAAGTGGTACATAAGCAGATATGCTGGCAGATTGCGAAGAGTTCAGGCTGTTTACGGAAGCTGAGGTTCTCTCCTGCTAAATGTTGTTGTCATTTCATAATCAAGTAAATGGCAAAGAGCAACCTGCAAATTTATGTGCAAACTCCCATCTGTGCTAGAAGAAGAAAGTAATTTCAAAGATGAGAATAAAGCTGCCACGCAGTACCTGAACTGCATCATATTGAGATTACTGGCCATGGTACAGTGGTAAGGGAATTGAAGTTTGGAGTTTTGTGCACGAACGCGCATGGGCATTCAGTAAACATATATTGCTGGGCTGTGAATGCATTCATATCCTTTGCCTTGTCAGGAAGGTCATGAGGACTATTTACAAATGATGTTTACAACCTCAGCCGAGGAATCTCAGTTTCTCTATTTCCTTTTCTGACACAGGCTATCAAGACCAATTACTCTTTCTGTACCTTGTTTTGTAATTTTTAAAATTCCAGTAACAACACAGGCATGGTGGGTGCCAATAGTCTGCAATGCATGGATCTGCACCACAAACGGAATGGCTGTTTCCTTAAAGATAATATGATTTACCCTATGCCAAATATTTATTACTCTAGATGCAAGAAGAACTGTCATTAGAAATAGGACTTTACCATGCAATGGGGCGTAGCTTTTGAATGTACTTCAGATGCTAAAGTATTTGCACAAAATGGAATGTAGACAATTCACTGCAAATCTGGCAGTATATTACGGCTTTGCACTGGCAATTTTCTCACATTTTCATTTCAAACAATCTTTGAGCAAGGATTTTGATGCTGTTTTGGAATGCTTGTGTTCAGCTTTATGCAGATGTGGGTTCTGAAAAATGATTAAGAAGCTCCCAAGCACAAAAATAAAATCTGTTAGGTTCTGTCCAAATTACTGCTGGGATTAGCTTAGCACTGTGATCACTTCTGAAGTCTGGAATAATATCAGGGATGCACATAATCTTGAATATTTCTGATATAAAGTGTTTTCTAAATGTTCGCATCTTCCATTTCACTGCTCAGAACTGTATTTCTTAATTTTCTTCAAGTAGGAGACATTCACCGAGAAGACAGTAGCAATATATAGCACTCAGACAGCACTTTTTTATTTCATAATGTTGTAAAGATATTAAGCAGTTTTCTCAAAACACAAGTAAAAAAACTCGGAAATAAGGAAAAAAAGGTAGTAATGGCAATTGGGTGTATGCCTGTATGCCCTTTGACAATCACACCCACTCCTATAGTTATTTTTCTAGTAAGGGAACTAAAGTTGCCAAACCACGAGTTCAATGCGTTTGTTTAATTAGTTTGCAGTGAGCTCTGTTTCCTATTTTAGTGTTTTATTCACATCTCACAGTAATCACTGTGATAGCAATGCTGTGATTTGTAATGCCAAAATGTCTTATCTATCCCCTGTAACCCAAAACCCTGTGATCAAATGCCCTATGCAGAAGGTACTGAATGGAAAAATATCTGATGCTGATGTGGCCTAACAGCAACATTGGTAATAGCTCTAAAATTAAAGTTGAATAATTTAAGTTGATTTCTTTCATAACAGAAAACTGGCTATTGACCAGAAATGTTGTGAAAGATTAAAAGCAGTTATAAACTTAAACCTGGCTCGTAATTTGAAATGTTTAGTAGTAATAGTCAGTTCTTGTATCATTTTCATTTGGTGAAGGAGCATTCAACATACATAAAGCATGCATTCAAGAATCCTTCATTCACTGAAAAGTGTGCTCAAAAATTCTCTTGTCTTTCTCAAACTTCTTTTTAATTAGTGTTGCACAAGATTACTCCAATCAAAGTAAGTCAGCACCAAACATTGCATTCTGCATTCATTGTTAATGTCAGCTAACAGGATGGTATTCTGTAATGTTAAGTTCTGCTCCGTGGTGCAAGTATCTGTTCAAGACTGCCCTCAGTTCTTTCTCCTGCTTAGGTTTTCAAACACACCCTTTGTCTTAGAGCTTTCAAAATATTTTTAAGTATTTTTAACTTGGCATGAAGTTTACTGCTGGGAATTGACAGTCTTGTGCATTTTCTGCAACAGCAGATACTGTCATTTGTTTTGAGTGACTAAATAGTGTGTGGATCCAAAATTGTATTCATCAAGGTAGCCAACTTTGTGGTCAGACTCTAGAGATGCTGATGGGCTTATGGCAAGGCACACAATTACTCAGTGAATTTCTCAGCTGCCAACTGTTTAATACAGAGATAAAATTCAGAGCACTACCTGCTGTTAAGGTCAGTACCAGCAAGATGATGTCTTGTAAATCTGTGTGTATGTGCACTCTCTTCTTCAGAGATTGACTGTTATTAATTGGTTAAGGAGTGGTGGCTGACAATACTTAGCTGCCTCTGAATTTAAATGCCTCTTCATCATTTGTTGTCATAGAAAGCCTTCTTTGAGAAGGCAGCAGATGACCTGCTACTGATAAGAATCCTTTATAAAGGTCAATTTTTACTAAGACATAGCCACATTTTTTGAAGGATTTCCACTGCTAAGTCACTTGAATTGTTCACGTTACTTTCACTTTGTTTACATTTACCAAAAAAGGCACAAGTACTTCCAGGCTCATCCTGGAAGCTCAAATGGATTATACAGCAGGATTAGTTATTGCATTTCTCCTCAGAAGGGATTTATCTGAGCTCTTCTGAACCAGATAGACCATAAACTCTTTCAGAGAAGGCATATTCAAAATAGCATTTTTTCTCTTCATGAGCCAAACCCTTCATGCAGAATGAGTGCTTATGAGACCTTTTGGTTGCATAGTTACACCTCTGATAACTTTTTTTTTTAAGACCTCCTCATTATAAGGAGAGAGTGTTTTAAATCTAGCCATAAACAACAGCCATAGCTGTTGTTACCATTCTTTTCAATTACATTACAATGCACAACAATTAATTATATCTAATCCTTCTCACAGAAGTGTTTACAAGCAAAGAGAGTACCTCAACTTTCTTTCAATAAAAGCGTAGGACTTATTATGTCCCTCTAGGTATTTTACTCATCTAGCCTTTCTGTACTTAGGATTATAATCATATTATTTGCCTTATTGGAATTTCCCTATGGGAAAATAAACATCAGTTCTTGTCAGACATGATCTTTAAACTATATTTTGTATGGGAAAAATATTCCCACATATCTCCTAATCAAGATCTAGGATTTAGTGAGGTAACTTCAGCTCACCACCTCCACTCATATACAGACTTGCTGTGATTCATGTGAAGGACCTTTCTGGATATGGAATCCTTATACATATATTACTTTACCTCCTATTTGTAGGATTTTTGCATAGGTACACTCAAACCAGAGGTCCAATTCAAACTGATGAAAAACCTCATTGACATCAAAGCAAGCAGCCAGGGCTACTTGGGCAGTTGGTGCAGCACTGGGGGGTGGATTTGGACAGAGAAGCTGGTGGTGCTGCATGCATGGAAGGGATGTATGCTAAACTAGACTTACTGTGGTCAGAGAATCCTTCAGTTTAGTTTCAGATTTCAGGAGCCTGTGTTGCACAGCCTAAACCAGCTCCTGGACACAAACCAAAGCACTGTGAATGGGAATAATAAGATTCCTTTTGAAAAATCACTGCTGATCTGAAATAAATGCTAACTAACATAGATGCGTCCATGCATCTGAAGTACGTTACACTTAGGACAGTTTTGTATTTGTATCCTTTGTATTTATTTTTCAGAATGCATCCCTGTCTGGGCAGATGGAGGTGTGGGGAAAGAACAGTTTCAACAGCCACTCTTGTTGTTGGCAAGGTCACAGAAGTGGTTTCTTTCTATCAGGCTTGTTTTCTGTGTTCTCTGAAATGATGATCTTTTTTTTTTTTTTTTTTTTTTTTTGAGTGAAATAGTACTTCAGTGTTCAATTTCTCTTAAACCAAAAGCATTCCACAGATATTAACTTCAAAGTGGGAAATTTTCCTCCAAGAGAGACCTTTCCCTTTGAAAAGGAGAATTGGTTATCTGGAACACAAAATATGACAAATTAGTCTCAACTATATGTTTCCTAGACTGATAAAATCACCTGTCTTCACATTTTTACTTCTTTTTTGTAGAGCCATGTTTGACTATGACAAGAGCAAAGACAGTGGTCTCCCAAGCCAAGGCCTCAGTTTTAAGTATGGAGACATTCTTCACGTCATCAATGCCTCGGACGATGAGTGGTGGCAAGCGAGGAGGGTCACCCTGGAGGGAGACAGTGAGGAGATGGGAGTTATACCCAGCAAGAGGAGGTGAGTGCTGCTTCCTCCTTCCTGCCTCCTTGGCCGTGATGTTAAAATATTCCATTTTATTAGAAAAACAGCTTGTGTCAATCTATTGAAAGAATGGGGAAGTAGAGCAAAATCCTGCAGTCATTACTTCACAAGCTGGATGATAAGGTTTTCACTGTGAGATTTAAAGACTTTAGGCTGTTTAACTGTACTGAGAAGAAACTGAAATGGTGACTTTTATTATAGTGGATATATTATATTATAGTGGATTAACATTTTCACAGAGAAAGGCAGGATGGGAGACAGAGCGAGAGCACCATCTAATAAAGAACATCAGCACAGAAAGAAAAACCAGAACCTGAGTCTGGGAATTAGCTCCAAATTTGAGGTAGAGCACATGTTTTAATGTCAGGGTGATTAGCCATTACATCAAACCGTTGAGGGATGTGATGAATGTCTTGACATTTTCAAGCCAAGGCTGTATGTCTTTCTTTTCTGAGAGTAATAGAATTAAACTGCTGAGCTTGTGTGATGTAAAGAACAAAGCTAAATTACATAATGATCCTCTTTGACTTCAAAAACTGTTAATTTAATCTCTGCCTGTCTGGAAACTGATGGATAATCAATATTGCAGTATGTTTTTCATGTAATGTAAATGAATGCACTTTAATCCATTCTCCAAGCTAAATCTAAATCTTTCTTTAGCTGTGATGGATTCATGCTGACTAGAAGGGAGAAAATAGACATCTGAGTCTTACCCTTTGTTTCTATTGTTTACTCTGTTTGGGTGCTTTTGTAAAATTGGCCACAGGTCTCTGATAGTATCAGGACTATGGCACAAATAAGTATTACTTTGTGCCTCTGTTGATAGTTGCTATTGAAAGGTCAAGAACTGAAAGAGTGGGAGGAAAATGAAATCTGTCAAACCACATTACATTTCTCTTTTGCAGCAATGCTCCCATACTGCATATAAACTTTCTATTCCTAGCTATTTCAGCCTTAGCATTAATGTAAAAATGATCATGCCCATTTTATATAATGGGAAAATGGGACATTTGGTGCTTTACAGAGCACCTGCTGGCATTTCAAGGAGAACTGGCCTGGGTGCTAGTAGAGCTCATGGTAGCCCTTGTTCTAAATTACATAAAAGTGAACTGAAAGGCCTTGAAAAACCTTATTGACATTAGCCCTGCAAGGACCTTATTTTCTCTAATCATTACCATGTTTGAATAACAACCACCAGGATTTTCAGAAAAAGGCAATCACAAATGGGAAAAGGGGAAAGTCTGTTCAGTTACTACCGAGAGAGATAGTGCACAAAGCTCACACAGTGTGATGTATGCCACGAAATGCTATAAATAGCTATCAAACATAAGAAAATACCTATAGGGGAAAGAATGACAAAGCAAAGCAACTGATTCAGATGTGGAGTTGTATCTTCTATAAGATGGAGTGGATGCAAACGCCTAAGGATTATTTGTTTGACTGCACAGTGTTGCTTTGAAGGACCAAAAACAGAGGCTTTCTAGTCAAGGTCAGACATATGATATGGCTTGGAGAAAAGACGTGACTTACAAACACTGGGAGGGAAAAAAGAAAAAAGAAAAGATGCAGGTCTAGTTACTATGCTCTCTGCTTGTTATCCTGATTCTTCACAAGTGAATCTCAGCAGCCTGAAAAAATCAATGGCATCTGATTTCCTGTCTGCAGTAATATAGTGATGTGATACACCTCAGCACGGAGGTTGCTATTGTTACATACAAGTTTTCAGTTTTACAAGGATATTTTTGCCAGTGCACTGAAAAGTGGATATGACTTCCTGTGGATTCTGGCCACTGAATCCAATAAGCTCTTGCCAGCAATTTCTGTGGTCATTTACACCACCTAGGGCGAGGATGAGCAATCAATGCACAGTGAGCTGAGCTATATAGGATAAAACTCATCAGACTTGCCGGAATACACTAATTCAGAGTTGAATTTCCTCTACGTGCATTGCTTACTTAGTCTGAGAGGCTCAATCCAAGAGTAGTCCTGGAATTCATTCATCTGACTGAATATAGACTGGTTTAAGCTGGTTTCTCCAGGCTGCTGTTATATGTCTTATGGTTTATAGGCGACTATTTCTATAAGCATTGCATTGTGTGTAATTGGACATCTGTAATAGCAAGTGGTAAGATATATGGTGCAGTAGAAAAAGAGAAGAGCTTCTGTGGCTGCTCACTGAGCTATGACTTGCCCTGCAAGCCCACCTTTCCATGATGTTTTAGGCTGAAGAGATTATATATTGCTTTTGTTCTTTTTTTAGGCTCTTCATTTTTTCATCTGCTTTAGAATTTGTTGGTGGTGTTTTTTTTCTTTAATTTTATTTTTGTTTCTTTTGTGTGTGTGCATGTACATGTGTGTTGTACTTGACCTCCTTCCTTTGCCCATGCATTTATCCTTTGGGACTGCAACAATTATTTGCACTTTGGGTCAGGGGGAGGCTGTACAAATCCAGGGGTTATTAGTGCCAGAGTGGGTCTTTGAGTTCTGGTTTGCTCTCTCTCTCTAGTCCTACAACAGATAATATATAACCCCTGCATTTTTCATAAGTGAAATTATGGAATAGCTCTGAAAGCCACTAACCTCTTCAGTTCCACTTTAGTATGTATGCTTATGTATGTATATAGATGTTCATACAAATATATACATATATGTATATATACACACAAAACCATGGCACATACAATATATTATTTCTTTAAGGCATTGTGTAATGGTAATTGCTTTCCAAGCATTTACTCTTACCTTTCTTTTTAATATTTTTTCAAAAAGACACCTTCAAACAATGACATTGCAGCATGAGCTGATTCTGATTGCAGAATAAATCAAGACTCCAGACTCTTCTCTATGATGTATGTGATATAGCAGTAGAAATCATAATTTATAATTGCAGGGGAGCTGCCACTCACTCTTCTCTCCAGGATGTTGTGTATATTACCAGCCTTTATCTCTTAGTGATTCATTAGAGTCTGAACGATTTTTGCCTTTAGATTTCAGTGCTGCTGTCAATGTGTGGACTTGATGCCTTGTTGATTGTTAAATTATAAAGTCAAACTTTAAGAGGGTGTTTTGGAGTGCAGCACAGCAGCTAAAGGAGGGTTTCTGAAAGAGAGAGCGCACGGAAATGACAATGGCCTTGTGTTTCCCCATTGATCTGTGCAAGGACCAAATCTCACAAATTGTTGAGGTGACGATCCCAGTGAGGGATCTAAAGTGCTGCAGTATTGCTGTAACCCTTTCTTCATCTGGAGGCAACATTCTGTCCACTTCTTATGGACGTTTGTATGCATTTGCTGTTCTGCACCATGGTACCGAGGTAGAAACCAAACAGTGCCATAGAAGTGTTATGATTCTGGATCGTATTGATGTTGGCTACAATAGGACTTCAGCATAAGAGACTGTAAACCACTTAAGCTGTGTTTTAACAGGAACCAAATAGTTGTTATCATATAGTATTAATAAATGAACATAACAGGCTAAATTGGTCCTGGTTCCACATCCACCACTAAGATTTATCCAAGTTGTGCCAACGGTGACAGTGGAAAACAGTTCAGAGAGGGTCTTCCAGGTGCTGCGACGCACCTTCAAGTCCTATACCCAATGTCTCAGCAGCTTATGGTCCTATTTGAACACTACATTTAACTACGTGAATTACTAGCTGATCATTAAAAATTACTATGCTTTATACTAGAATGGCCAGTAGAATTAGATTTACATTGGATTTTTATTACATTTAGATGTATCAATTTAGCTTTTAATTTCTACATATATATCACTATAATTTCTTGTTTCCCTTTTCAGGCTAAGTAAATGGGCCCGACTTCCCATTACAGGCAGTAGCAGGCAGAGCAGCCTATTTCTAAGACTCCCTCCCAATGGAAATTCTTACATTCAGAAAGGTCAAATCAACAAAAAGCCTGAAACCAGAGTGCATAAGTTAGAGTGTATTAAAGTCTTCCACAGATGCTTTAATTCAAGAGTACAAACAATTTAATTTGCTGTGGCACTGATTTTACAACTCTTTTTTTTGTGTGTTTTTTTTTTTTAATTGCAATTTCTATATAATGGCAACCTCCAACTTCATGAATGGCAAGCTTCGGTATTTTAGATGTTGTGGCACCTCTGATCTGTGGATCCAAAGGGATTTTATTCTGCAGCATCACACACATTGTCCCCAGAACAGCCTAGCCTAAATTCTTCCTACTTCTACATTTGCTTCTTATGTAGGCACTGAGGATTTGGTCCTCTAACACTAAATCAGTCACATAATCCTTCTGCTGTCTACAGGACTAAACCACTTGTGTTGTACATCACTCCAAGATTTCCATTTTCAGGTAGCTGAAAAAGTTATGTAACTCGTGTCTCTGTTATATACCAAATAAATGTGCGTGATGGCACCACACAGTCGTGTTATCAAATGCACAGCATTCTCACAAAACACACATGTAACCACACTTTCCTTTGAGAAGAAAATCGGAGAAAAAAACATTAAAAAACAATGTTTTGCAAACATTTGTAAGGACAAGGAACAAGAGGACAGAACTCCCCGTGAGCAAAAAGCCAGTTCAAATTTGTTATTCTGCTCAGCTTGGCAGAAGGGCATGTTTATCCACTCAAGTGAATTTTATTTTTAATGGTCTCCTACAAACTGTCCACCTTTCTAAATATCCCTTAAGACTTTAATCTTTAGATGATAAAACTTTTTTACATGGCATGATCTTGTAAGCTTTGTCTATAATAAGTTACCTGACTATACTTACTAACCTAACGGAAACAAAATAAGTACAGAGTAAAATTGATATCTATGTGTATTTATAACTCTCTTGTTGTTCCCTGGCAATTACGGGAAAAAAGGAAAACAGCCTCTAGCTTTTAAACAGAATAAGGTTGTTCAACAGTTTTATGAGAAGTTGGTTCCCACTGGCATTAGGTCTACCATTTTCATGAAATATTCACCAAGTGCTGAGCTGCTTTCTATA